AGCTTTTACATGGGTCAGGAGCAGGAGCCTGGGAAACAGCTCAGCCCCTCGAGGCTGTCTGGAGGCAGCATGGAAAGAGTTGGCCAGAACTCAGGGTTCCCCTCAGTGAGACTGGAGTGACATGGCACAGTCCGTGTCCCCTCAGACAACGAGGGGCTGAGACTGTGTCAGTGTTGGCACTGTCGTGGAGGGATGTCCGTAATGGGCCATAGGAACTGGTTGGGCCCACATGTGCGGTCAGGTACAACTATGCACACACACGCATGCACTGACACATACCCAACACGCACAATCATATACACAGTGGCACAGAGACAAGTAAACGTGCATGAGGATGCAGACATGTGTAGATGCATACAATTACTCACAGCTGTGCAAAAAAATACACATGTTCACAGAAACGTGATCTCACCAGAGGCATGCAGCTGTGTGCACACACAAGCATACAGATGTGCATGCAGATAACCGCAGAGCCTGGTACACAATCATGCTCCTGCACATGTTACAGCAGAAAAGCACATGGGGCAGAGGCGATAGGAAGGGATGTGACTGAGGAGCTTCTGGGGACCTCCCTGCCAGAGCAGGGATGGGGCACTCTGAGAAGGACAGGTGCACAGGCAGCATTGCTACAGGAGTCTCAGGGAGCGTCCAGAGAGAGGAGGTGGAGGATAAGGATGTCAGCAATTCCCTCCTGAAGGCAGCTGAAAGGGAAAGAAAGTTGGAAAGCTGAAGTGCAGCCTGCCTGCCTGGGAAGGCAAGTGACAGACTGCTGGAGTGAGCCAGGAGGGAACAAAAGAGCAGGACAGGGTACATAGTCAAAGGAGCCCTTGGGGGGACGAGCCAAGGATTGCAGGGCTTGGAGCAGTTGAGGCCCTTCCCATCAGCAGTGTCATTAAAAAACCTCACCAGCATGCCCCAGGCTGACATCAGCTGCCTTCAGTGGACCCCTCTGACACTTAGTCCATGTCTTCTGCCCACACTGACGCATCCTTGCCCCAGAAATCATGGGACCTCTCATCCAAACACTCAAAACAACCATCTGTAAGGGAACAGGCATGACAGAAACCAGGAAATACAAAGGCAGTGTAGAAGGAAACAGCAGTACATGCCATGTCATTCCCTGGGAAGTTTCCGTTCATTAGGAGCAGGCAGGAAAATTGTTGCTTATGCAGAGATTGCCTTTGGGCCTGAGGCAGTCTGAGGCCAGTATAAAAGCCAGCCCAACTGGTTGCTCCTTCAGACCCTTCTGTCACCTCCCTCTCCTTGGGAACCAGGTGAGTTGGAAATCTCTTTCTCCTCCACCTCCGCCTATAAAGCAGAGTTTTGCGATCCAAGACATCTCAGCTAATACCTGCTATGATAGTTGTGGGAGAGGGCAGAGGAGAGACGGTATGTCATGGAAAGAGGTTGAGGTTGGGTTGGGGTAGGTTCTTGGCTACAGGCTAGGCAGGAGCATCCTGGGGCCTGGCTGCTATCTGTTGGACCCTGCTGGGTTCAGGCAAGGGAGTCCTTGTTCCCCATGCACAGCCTCCACCTCCTCACCCTGTAGGTGCCTTGGTTGCCTTTTGGTGGGTTTTCAGGCTGTTGCTGAAGTTGTTCCTGTACTCTGCTTCTCCCTGCCCTCTCTCCCAGGTGCACCTCTAGCCCTGAGACATGTCCTGCTGCGAGCAGTGCCAGTCATGCCAGCCCTGCAGCCCAACCCCACTGGCCAACAGCTGCAATGAGCCCTGTGTCAGGCAGTGCCAGGACTCCACCATCATCATCGAGCCCTATTCTGTGGTAGTGACCCTGCCCGGCCCCATCCTCACCTCCTTCCCACAGAACACCATTGTGGGCTCCTCCACCTCCGCTGCTGCTGGCAGCATCCTCAGTTGTGAAGGAGTGCCCATCAACTCTGGAGGCTTTGACCTCTCCTGCATCACCAGCTGCTACTGTGGCAACAGATGTCGGCCCTGCTAAAGCTGCTGGCAACATCCTTGGGCAAGAACCTCCAAGACCTCACAACATGCTGCTGGACAGAGGATAGAGCATTGGAGGAATGTTTTTAGAGCTTTGGGTCATTGTTTCCTTCTTTCACTCCCATTTTCTCTTTTTCTTTGCTGTAACCATCTCCCAACGACAGCCTGGCAGGGACCTGTTGGCCTCCCTCCCTCTGCAGGGCAGGCAGACGGACACCCCGCAGGAGCTCCACCGCATCTTAGTGGCTCCCCTGGTGCTCCCTCCCTGTCAGCCACCTCCTTTTCTTCTTTAGACTCATTAAAGTTGTGCTGCATCCGAGCCTGGGCCTCCGAGTCTTCCTTCCTCCTCTGGCAACTCTTCCAGTCAACTCAGGGAACAAGGTGGAGGAAGGGGCGGGTTGGACTCCCTGCAGTGGATTTGTGTTTGTGCCCTTTCCCTTGGAGCTGAGGCAGACATTCCTGGCTACTCCACAGGCCATGGCCATCAGGGCCATGGCTCCAAAAAGGGGCTGGACTGGTGACGGGCACCAACAATGCCTGGAGACAGCCCACAGCCTCATCTCCCCCTTTCCTTCTCCTCCATTCCCAGCTCTGGGGTCCATGGCCAGCACACATGGGCACAGGCAGAAGAGACAGGTACCTCAGACTGTCCTTCAGTGCCTAGCCGGGCCCAGCTGCTCTTCAGATGTGCAGGGCTGAGGTAATGCATAAGTTAGGTCTGCTATCAGCCACACTCAGGCCACACAGTGGAGTCCTCACTCTCTCTGAATCCAATACCCCATGTGCCACCTCAGCTCCAGGAAAGCACCCAGTAGCAAAAGACACACTTGCTGGCTAGCACCCCACCGTTTATAGGTGGAGGGTGACTGGGCAAATGGCAGCAGTGCACAGAGCATACCCACAGCAGTTTGTGCTCTGCACAGTCCACTGACTCCCTGCCTTCTCATGCTAGTTCAAGCATCTATCTTACCTGTGCAAACCACTGTGGCTTCACTAGTAATATCAGCATTTAGGTCTGCTTTTGTCCTGGTTTTGTCTGGCATACAGTTGAATTTCTATTTAGTAGCTAGAATAGCCCTGTTTTGGTCTGAGGAGAGTGTTGAATTACAGACTCATGTTTTAAGTCGTTGCTAAGAAATCAGGGGACTTTTCAACTTTCCACACTTTGCTAGTGTGCAGGTGCACGAGAAACTGGGAGGAAGCATAGCCAGAGCAATGGACCCAAATTGGCCAATAAGATATTCCACAACATGCAACATCATACTCAGTATAGAAAGAGTTGCCCGTGAAGCACATTCTCTCTCCCAGGATTGTGGTTTTGGGATTTTCTTTCCTCCAGGATTGCTAGCCAGGAATGGGCGGGGCCTTGGTCAGTGGGCAGTCAGCAGTTTTACTGGGTATCACTTTTATTTTATTATTATTATTAATATTGTGATTGTTATTATTATTATTTCAATTATTAAATTGTTCTTATCTCACCCAATTAGTCTCCTTACCTTTAGCCCTCCAATTCTGTCCCCCATCCCCCAGGTTACAGAATTGTGAGCGAGCAGCTGCATTGTGTTTGCCCACCAGCTGGCTTTAAACTACGACAGAGTTTCCATCGTAATTGAAAATTTCTTTGTAGACCTTGGCCTTTACTTGCAGCTCTAAATTCTGCCACCCCTTGGGTAACTGTGTTCTCCTGGGTGCAGAAAAGGAACCTCATGCTCTGCCTGCCCACAGTTCCACACAGAGACACCCTCTTTGTCCATCCCACTGGATGGTGGGCACCTTTGGTGGCACATGACAGGTACCAACCCAAGCATCGCACAGATGCAGAGGATGACCCTACCTGTGCTCAGTTTCCCTGGCTCACCCAGTGCTCTGAGGCAGGGCCAGCCTGAGCTCTGCTCACACCACCACTACTGCTCACTGGCAGGCCAGGGCCTTGCAGGCACCTCTCCCAGTGCAACTTGTACTCCTTGGCCCTTGTCTTCTCCATGTGATTCCTTGTGAGGAGACAGCCTCCATCCTTGCTGGAGTCGCACTTTAAAGTACTGGAATACTCTGATGATGTTCCCCATGAGGCTTCTGTTCTCCAGGGAGAAAATACCTAACTCCTGCAGTCTTTCCTCATGGGATAGGTTCTCCAGCCTCTTGGTCATCTTTTGACTTGTATGCAGGAGTAACAACAGGCACTGGAGCAGGATCAGGATCAGCGGAGGCCAAGTCAGGGGACTTGGATCCCGACGGTGGCTTTCTTGATGCAGAATGGCCAGTCAGCTGGAGAGCCACCTGGGTGAGGATGACCACAAACCCAATGCCCACGCTACTAGGGCTTGCAGGAAAGTGATTTTATCTTTCATGAGAGTGGTGTAATGGAGCAGGTTGCATATGGTGACCTCAAGATTAAAGGACATCTCTGAGAGGATCATGAACTCAGTGACAGCCAGGAAGAAGGGAGAACATGACTGTGCCAGCCAGAAGGCAACACAAATTATTTTCCTGGTGACAAGGAAAACCTTAATCATTTTTGACACAACTGTGGTGGTGTAACAGACCTCCACAAAGGAAACCTGATGACAAAGAAGGAAGGCAGCAAGGTCTGCATGTGCGGATTGCTCCATGCAGTGACAATGAAGAGGCCATTCTCCACCAGGGTTAGAAGATACACGGAGAAGATAAGGACATATGGGGCAAATGTGGCCACCTTGGGAGGTCTGGGAAGCCCAGGGGAATGAGTTGCAGGTGTCTTTTTGTGCTTTGCTGTGGCCCAGTACATGACAGGAGGGAACCAGCTGCTTAGATAAGAGTGAAGGAACCAAGCTGTGGTGGGTTAAATGTATTATTTTTATTGCTGTCAGAGGGACAAACCAGCCCCTGTTGCCAAATGACAGAAGCCTTTTACCATAGACAAAGGTCTCATGATGCCTGTGCTGAGGTGCGGGCAGTAGACTAGAACAGACAGGACCTGACCAGCATTTCTGGTTTACTGGAACTGACCATTGCCATGAAATGCCTGACTCCCAGGGAGAAATTCTTCACTATGAGGTGGTGATGCACTGGCACATGTTTTCCAGAGAAGCTGCGGACGCCCCATCCCTGGAGGTGTTCAAAGCTAGGCTGGATGAGGCTCTGAGTAACCTGGTCAACTGGAAGGTGTCCCTGCCCATGGCAGGGGGGTTGGAACTACATGATCATCTCTATGATGTAGATGATCTCTGTGGAAGTGCACGTAGCACGGGGAACAAACAAGAGGAGTGAGAGACGTGGGCACGATAGCAGGGTTGTGATCTCACTGGCATCATGGAGATGTGGTGGGATGGCTCCTATGACTGGAGTGTTGGAATGGAGGGATACAGGCTCTTTAGGAAGGACAGGCAGGAGAGATGAGCATGGGGTGTCACCCTCTATGTCAATGAACAGCTGGAGTGCATGGAGCTCTGCATGGGGATGGATGATGAGCCAATCAAGAGCTTGTGAGTCAGGATTACAGGGAGGGCAGGGACAGGGGACGTTATAGTGGGGGTCTGCTACAGACCACCCGACCAGGAAGACCAAGCAGATGAGTGCCTCTATAGCAAGATAGGAGCAGCCTCACATACACAAACCCTGGTCCTCATGGGGCACTTAAACAATGCTGATATCTGTTGGAAGGACATGCAGAACAGCATAAGAAAGCCAGGAGGTTGCTGGAATGCATTGATTATAACTTCCTTCTCCAAGTGATAGAGGAGCTATATCCAAGGAGAGGTGCTATTCTTGACCTTGGTCTCACCAACAAGGAGGGCCTGGTGGGGAATTGGAAGCTCAAGAGCAGCCTGGGCTGCAGTAACCATGAAGTGGTGGAGTTCAAGATCCTGAGGGCAGTGAGGAGGGTGCACAGCAAACTCATTGCCCTGGACTTCAGGAGAGCAGACCTGGGCCTCTTCAGGGATCTGCTTGGTAGAGTCCCATGGGATAAAGCACTGGAGGAAAGAAGGGCCCAGGAAAGCTGGTTATTATTCAAGGATCTTCTCCTCCAAGATTAGGAGTCATGCATCCCAACAAAGCAGGAGTTAGGCAAAAAGGCCAGGAGGCCTGCATGGATGAACAAAGAACTCCTGGACAAACTCAAACAGAAAAATGAGGGTGGAAGCAAGGACATGTAGCCTGGGAGGAATAGAGATAAATTGTCTGAGCAGGCAGGGATCAGCTTAGGAAAGCTAAAGCTGTGATAGAATTAAATCTGGCCATGGCTGTCAAGCGCAACAAGAAGAATTTCTATAGGTACGTTGGTGATACAAGGAAGACTAGGGAAAATGTGGGCCCTCTTCAGGAGGAAATGAGAGACCTGATTACCCAGAATATGGAGAATGCTGAGATACTCAATGACTTTTTTGCCTCAGGCTTCACCGGCAAGTGCTCAAGCCACACTGCCCAAGTCATAGCAGGCAAAGGCTGGGAAAGCGAGAGTGGAGAACTGCCCACTGTAAGAGAAGAGAAGGTTTGAGACCATCTAAAGAACGTGAAGGTGCACAGGTTCATGGGACCTGACGAGACATGTGTGGGATCAGCAAGCAGCCTGACTAGGCTGGCAGAGTGTGATGTCCTTGAGCTGGGTGGATATAAGCCATGGGAGGTATAAACATCCAGAGAGAACACTGCAAAACCTGTTTGTTAAAGAAGAAGCTGTGTGGACACTCGCATGAAGACCACATTACGGAAAAGTACAAGCTTGCTTTTGCAGAGAGCAGAGATAGTATAAAAGAGGCTTGTTGTGCACATTAAAGGTGATTTCTGTCCTGCATTCAGAAGTCCATGCTTTTGTACACCATGGATGCGTCCACGGGTCCTGAAGGAACTGGCAGATGAAGGTGCTAAGCCACTATCCATCATATCTCAGAAGTCATGGCAGTCTGGTGAAGTTCCTGATGACTGGAAATT